CCCACTCACCCACCCATTCGCGCACCTCCCCCATTTTTCTTTTGAGACAGGGTTTCGAAGAAAAACTTTGCTGTTTACAAATCGACTCCCATGAGAAATGCTTTACAGAACATGAGTTAGATAAACCTTGTTCAGGCACAAGGTACATCCAGCCATCAGTCACAGTGAATCCACAGCACTCACACGACGATCCCTCAAGTATTACAAAGCTGTCATTGCCTCTGTGGCTGCTGTTGAATTTCCATCCTCCTCCCTCTGCCACCGTCAACTCCATGTCCTCCCTCAGAGCTCAGGAAGCCAGGGACATGCCATTCTCAAGCCAAAGTAGGCCCCGTCTCTTTAGGAAAACACAGCCAACTTTAGCAGTAATAAATGAATACTGCTTCCGCTCCACAGGGGGCTGTTGATGCCTGGTCTCGGTCTCACACGTATTGTGTCATTTAACTCTCGTGGATCCGTGATGAGATGGGGTCTACTTTTGTTCCTAGCCTCCATGTGAGGAAACAGAGGCATGACAGGAAAGACGTGTACCTAAGGTGACCTCGCTCGGAAATGGCAAACCAGCCTTCAACGCTGTATTTTTCCTGCCCAGGGTCCGTGTTCGCTAAACCTCCCGTTGCCTAACATCCCCATCCCTGGGACACTAAGTCTTCATTCACCCCCCCCCCACTCTTCCTTTTCTTCTTGCTTTATGACTTGCATACCACAGTTCTCCACCTCAAACCCAAGCTTTCCTTTTCTGGGGAGACCTCCTACCCTCCCCCCTCACTCGTGTGTCCTAGCATGACTGCCCTGTGTCATTTAGTGTGTCAGTGCAATTGGAACCTGTTCTAGAAGCACACACACACACACACACACACACACACACACACACTCACCCCCCCACTACATACACCACAGGCACAGTTTTTAAAGGAGGAAGACATTCATCTTTGGTTTTAATTAAGGCCAGCTTACTCATCCTGACTTTTAATACCATCGCCTCATTTGTCTTATTAAGTACTTAGCTTTGCTTTTAATCAGTGTTGTTTATTGTTGATGAGTTTTAATTGGCAGTGCAGGGTCCCTTTGGGGAGGATGCATCTGAGGGCAGAGCCTAGGGCACAGTCAGAGACCTACTGTGGTCCCAGTGGGGACTAGTGTTAATTTTTCAGGTCCCACAGCTTTGGTTGCCTTTGGGATCCCTGCTTGCTCCAAACTGACATGGGACCCTGAGGACACAAACACAGGAGTATTGCAGTGACAAAAATTCAATTCAAATTTGACTTCATTGGTTTATGATAGCTAAAATGACAGATATGGGTTCAGGCATGGCGGGATCCAGCACCCCCCAGCCCCCTTGTGCCCGTGGGACAGTAGCGTTTCTCCATCTCCCTGCAGCAGGCTTCCCCCGCAAGGTGGCTTCTGTCCCTTTCAGCTTAGCACCTGAGACAGAAAGAAAATCACCATCAGCAGAATTCCAGCAAAGCTTTCATTGGCCCAGATCAGGTCATTTGCTGATTCCTGAGCCAATGACAGCACAGCAGCTACTGATTGACCAGAAGTGGGCCACAGGCCCATCTCCAAGGACAGAACTAGGTGATCCCCACCTGAGCCTCACCGGCGGATACTAAGAAAGGAGCCATCTGGAAGGAAATCTGGAGTACTCTTACCCCTGACCCTAGTACTAAATTAGGGATGTGTGTAGACTGGAATGATGGCTCAGTCAGTAAAGTGCTTGTCATACAAGCATGAGGATCCCATGTAAAAAGATAGGCATGGTGGTACCTGTTCTAACCCAAGCAGCGGAGAGAGGGAGGCAGGCAGATCTCTGGGGCTCGCTAGCCAGCTAGCCTAGCTGAGTTGGCAACCTACATGCCAGCAAAAGACCAGTGGGCAACTCCTGAGAAATGACACCTAAAGTTGACCTCTGACTGACACCCCCCACCCCACCCCCACAGTGTACCCCAGGTATCTGTTACACCTTCACTCAGACTTATAACACCTCTCCCAGGTGCACCAGGAACATTGACAGAGTGCTCCCTGGCTGGAGCCTGGAAAACAAGTCGGCTGCCAAAGCCCTTCAGGGACAGTCACTCATTAGCCTGGGAGGTAAACTAGCCAGAGTGGGAGTCCTCATTTCAGAGTGGGACAGCTAGGTGGCGTCACTCAGGGAAGGATGCAGGGTTGGATGTGGGAGTTGGGTCTGAGCCAGCCACTTCTTGTCTGACTATGCTGTGTAACAAACCACCCAGCTAACAAGTGGTTCAGAACTACCATGGTTGGCTGTCTTCCGGTTCTCTAAGTCAGCCATCGGGCTGTGTTCAGCCGGGCAGTTCCTCTGGTCTAGGCCAGATCTGGCTCACTTGGCTGGGTGAGTGGCTCTTCCAGTGGGCTAGCCTGGGCTCCTCACATACAGCAAGAAGTCAGCTGTAGAGCGCTTGCATCTTCAAAACCCCGACTGGACAGGCATGCTGCCATCCCATTGGTCATGGGAAGTTTCATAGCCAATCAGACACAGAGGATGAAGAAGCCCACTTCATCTGTGGAGAGTCACTGCTTCTCTGATACCCAGCCGGCTCACTCCTCTCTAGCTTCCCTGATGTTTCTCTAACTTACCAGAGGCTTGTCTACCCCAGGGCCTTTGCAGTTCATTTTCCATCTGTCTGAGATGCTCTGCCCCAGCTGTCCGCATGGATCAGTCCCCTGTCATGGGTCAGTGAGACCCTCCTGACACCCGTGTAAAACCAAATGCCCAACCCCTCCTCAGGTTCCTCCTTGTGTCAGCAGCTGGCACGCTTCACACTTGGCCTGTGTGTTTTCTGTCTTCCCCGCCTGAAGCCGACCTCACCTCTGTCTCTAGTTTGTGTTTTGACGCTGTATCTCTAGGTCTAGACCGGTGTTAGATACTTAGTGACAGTGGGTGCAATGGGAGAGGAAAGGGGAGGGGAGGGGAGAGAAGGAGGGAGAGGGAGATGTGTATAAGCCAGGGGACAACCTTGGGAGCCATCTACCTTGTTTCTGTAGTCGGGGTCTCTCGCTGGGATCTGGAACTCTCCAAGTGAGCTAGACCATCTGGCCAGTGAGTCCGAGTCCCCTGCCTCTGCCCCATCAGAGCAGATTTCAGGCTTCTGCCCCCATGCCCAGTTTTGTTACGCAGGTCCTGTGGATCAAACACAAACCCTTTCGAGGCAAGCATGCTACTGATTGAACCAACCCCAGCCCTCCATGAGTTGTGCGTTGTGTGTGTGTGTATGTGTGTGTGTGTGTGTGTGTGTGTGTGTGTGTTTAATTCCAGTTTTTTGAGAGAAGCTCCCAGTCTTAATGCCTCCTCACTTCTGGTTTAGTTTTACTTTAAAAAAATGACATGTGGGTCAAGCATAATATGTGTCTGGCTGGGATGTCATTTGTTCATGTCTGTTCCCTCCTCAGCTTAAGTCCCTGGTTAGGTCTCATCTTCAACCTCCAGTAATCTGAACGGGTCCACAGGAGCCTCACTGGTCAGTGATGAGTCAGAGGCAGGGAAGGGAGGCAGGCGAGGGTAGAGATAGAGTCAGAAGTATCCGGATGCCATCCAAGATGTTGGGGGCAGGTCCCCCATGATTTAAAGCAGGACTGTGGGGCACAGAGGCTGGCTATAGTTTTGAATCCCACACACACATCTGCAGGTGACACAGACCCCTGCAGCTCTCCAGAGTACCACGTGAGGTCCATGCCAGCCCAGTTCAGCCCCACTAGGTCACTTCAGACACTGCTGTGGCTTTTAAATGAGCTTTGAACTTTTCCCCACTTATCTTTAAGCAGCAGAAGACCAAGAAGAATTTGAGGTGTGGGACTCACTGGTCCATAGCAATGGATGCTGACAGGGAGAAACAGGGACAAGATGCAAAGGGGAGGGGTCCTCATAGTGTGTCTTTCTGGGGTTTGGACAGTGGCTTTTGTGGTGGTCCAAGATGCAGTGTGGCCTAGGGGTCCTCAAGGCTATGACAGCTGGCTGGCTCTGATGTTTCACACATCTGTGTACTCACCAACCTTTATGATCTATATGAGCACTTATTGATCACCAACTGCATACCACATGTCGGGCTGATTGCAAAGTAAAACTTTCTAGGTCTCCCATGCAAGACTTATGAATAATCCCAGGAAATGAGCACAGAGCTTTGAGCTTAGGGGTCTAGGCCACCTGCAGCTATTCCTGTGGGGGAGCAGGGTCCTTCTGCACAGAGTCCATATAGCTGCTTGGCTCACAGGTCCATGATGCTGGCCCCCTGTGCACTGAGGAGCTACAGTTGGGCAAAGGCAGTCCCAAGCCTGGAACTTGTGGCTCTTGCTGACTAGGTGGAGAGACAAATGCAGATAGCAAGAGGACAAATCACATGCTAAGCTGCGGGATGAGGAAGAACGGGACTAGGGGAGGGACTTCGTGTGACCAGGGAAGGTGTCTTCTCGGAAGAGACTGCTTAGAGCCCGGCTTTCTTCCTTTAGCACCCACAGTGAGCAGGCGTATCTGGTGGTTCTTTCCTGATTTCAAACATCTGCCCATGGTGTGGTGGACAGACTTGGGGTCACTTCTACTCTGTGCTGTTATAAACATCAGATTCTGGTAGAGGAGGGAGTATTCACTCCTCCCTGGAGATGTCTAGAGGTGGGCCGGATGGGCCAGTGGACCCCTGTGTCTGACTGTGGAGATGTTTGCCAAACTGGGACAAGTTTTTCAAGTGCTCCCTGACTGATGTGTGGAGGGTAAACTGATACTGGGCAGGGCGGATGTAGAGAGAGAGAATGACCCGAGCCACTGTAACAAGGAGCCCACCACAGGCCTTGTGTGAGGTGGAGAAAGGGTTATTTGTGTTCATGAGTTTGGAGACCCAAGTCAAAGTCTCCGTGCCCCACAGCTGTGCCCTTTGGCATGACTGGCGCATCCTAACGTCTGTGTCCCCACATGTGTGGCATAGAGTGTGCGCTCATGAGTTCAAAGTGGCCAGATGATTGGGTAACCATCTTGGATGGGTGTTTTCCAGGTGTGACAGTCTTCTGCCATGACTGACACTGTGGTGAACCGATGGATGTACCCTGGTGACGGCCCGCTTCAGTCAAAGTAAGTCTGTGGTGACCTGGAAGTAGCTCATTTGATCTGGGTATTCCTAAAAAGTCTTCCTCTGAAGGGAGAAGAGCTGTGGGTTTCTTTCCCTGGGCTAGGTGTATGTGTGTGTTGTATATACAAGCATGTATGGGTGTAAATTTATATATGGGTACCCATGTATATGTATGTATGTGAGGCACAAAGTTGACATTGGGCATCTTCCTCTATCACTCCTAACTCTATTGAGTGAGGCAGAATCTCTCACTGCAGGGCTAGCATCCCAGCCCCATGGTGGGTTTTATGGTATAAGCTTCTCAATTTTCCATACCCCCACTGTTCCCCTAGTGTGTCTCCAATAGGAAACCTACCATGAGTGTCTGTGTTACCCACCCAGCCCTGTGGCCATGGTTTAGAGATAGCCTCTCTAACCTCTATGCCTCAGTGTGGTGGCTCTGTTTGACAGAATTTTAAAGACATTGTAAGGTTGAAGTTCCTAGTTGGAATGGGGGTGGAGGGTAGTGGGCTGTTTGCTGATGACTATTGCTGGCCCAAAGAATGCAGAAGGGGTTTCTGTCTGTTAGAAAAAGAAGTTTCCTTATGAGGGGTGAAGACTACACTTACCTGTGGCTATAGGACAAATGTTTATAGAGTGTTGTTCTGGATTATGCTGGTTTAGTAAATTAGTACCTGTGGATTCTTTTCCAATAACTATACTTGCACTAGCATTGAGTAGTTGGCTAGGTTTCTAGTACCGGGCATGGTTCCCCTTTTTTTTTTGAGCCCATCTTTGAGGCCTGGTGGGTTTTCCATTTTACCCCCATCCAGTTTGGCATGTTCATGGGTGTCAACCTTGTTCTGCTCCTGTTTAGGCAGTCTTGATGGTGAGACCTTATGAGTGTAGCTTCTGGCATTCCTAGGAGACACACTCTCACAGCAAACTCCCTGATCTCCTGGCTCTTAGAATCTTTCTGTCCCCTCTTCAGCAATGTTCCCTGAGCCTGAGGCACGGGGATGTTTTGTTGATGTATCCATGGGGACTGGACTCTGCAATGCTGCATTCTGATTGGTTGTAATTTTCTAAACGTGCCATGTTGGGCAGGGAAACTCCTATGAGGCCTCAACCCTACACAAAGAACTGCAAATGACTGAGGAATGCCGGGAGTGGGGGTGGTCCTCCCCGAGAAGGACACGGCCCTTGGCTATCCAGTGCCAACAGCTTTGAAAACATGACATACATGTCTCTCTCTCTCTCTCTCTCTCTCTCTCTCTCTCTCTCTCTCTCTGTCTCTCTCTGTGTGTGTGTGTGTGTATAATAACACTTGATGAAAAAGAGGTCAAGAATTTAAAGGAAAGCAGGAAGGGTATATGGGAGGGTTTAGAGGGAGGAAAAGGAAGGGAGAATTGTAATTAAAATACAACCTCAAAAATAACATCCCCCCCAAAAAAGAAATTAAAAAAAGATTTTCAACTAAGGTCATTTTTTATTGGGTGGAAAAGTGTGTCCATCCCTTGTCATATGGCGATACCTTTACAGTTTCTCCTTATCTATGAAATACCCCCACTTCTAGCTTTTTAAACTTGACTCATAACTCCCACTTTTACTAAAGAAGAAATGGTCTTTTACAAGAGGATGTAAGTAGATACTACACACTTTCCAGGAAAGCAAAAAGTAATTATAAAATAAATAATATTTACTAATTTTTGAAACAATGTCATTATCTCCTCCTTTACACTGTAGGGAAAGTGGACCATTGAAAGAACCAGTTTTCAAAACAAACTGTTACATCTGGCCATTGACTCCAGTAAAAATAGACCACTAAAAGAAACACTGTGGGGATTACCTAGTCTAGATTGTAGCAAAAAATAGATAATTAAAAGAAACGGTGTTGTATGTAGAGGGAGGATCTAACAAAAATAGATAATTAAAGGAAACAATGTAAGTGGGCCTAACTCCATGTCTCAGCCTCCCAGAGACTCCAGCCTGAGATATTTTCAGGACATTACTTTTTGATTAAACCACTCTACTACATTTTTAGAACTTTAAGTTATTTCTGATAATTCATTGTCTTTATTATTTTCCTGGCCCTTTAAGTCTCCTTCCTGCTCTTTGATGAGTTTTTTGTTGTTGTTGTGGCTTTTTTTGTTTTTGTTTTGTTTTAAGACAGGATCTTACTACATAGCCCAGGTTGGCCTTGAACTCACAATCTTCCTGCCTCACTCAGCTCCTTAGGTGCTGACATTAGTGTGTTATGAATGTGGCCCAGGTCTTTGATGAGCTTTGAGTGTACATTTCATGTCTTTGACCACACAGTGACGTCACTCATGAATGATGAGTGGTGTGCTAATGGTTCACAGCGTTTCTTCACAATTGATGTGTCAATTTCAGGACCTTTGCAAGCCACTTACTGACCATGGCCACAACTGAAAATTAAATGATATAAATTTACAGTCACACTTTATTACACAAAAGGTGATGAGTACTTGAAATTAATTACATTTAAATGACCCAATGACAGGTTGATACTCTCTGCTATTGATTTATTACCCCTGGGCATTGTGACTACTATACAGAGGGATGTCTCCACATATCCCTAGCTCCAAATGTTGTGATGGCATTCTAGTCAGTCATGATGACTGTGAATGTTGCTAAGCATCCACCACACACCACCACCTAAAGTCCTTGACTGTCCAGATGTGATGTTTTTTGTCCCCTGAAGTGACATCATTATCATCATCAATATAAATTATTACTAATATTGTTAGGCAATGTCTCACTCTGTATTGCCCGTTGAACTGCATGTGTCTGTGGGTGCATACTCATGGGTGCAGTACTCATAGAGGCCAGAGGGGGCATAAGAGCCGTTCAAAGTGGTGTTACAGATGGTTGTGTGTCACCATTTGGGTTCTGAGAACTGAACCCTGGTCCCCAACTCTTGAGCAGCCCGTGCTCCTAATGGTGTATCTGGCTCTCCAGTCCCATCTTTCAGTGTTTTTAAGGATAGGTCCATTTTCTTTTTGTCGTTAAACTTGTTATTCAGGCTAAATTCCTTTGTTACAGAATTTTATAGTCTCCCACAATCTTTGACTTAGGTTTTCTTTTGCATAATAAACTCTTGAGGAGAGAATCCACTTTATGTTTTGTTGAAATCTGTTTTGTCTGTCTTGAATGAAAGAGCTGAAGAAAAATCCCTTTCTTTCTAACAGTCCTTGAGTGGCAATGGAAAGCATGGTTTGGGGGATATGGCTCAGGTGCTAGGTATAGCCCACCATGCACAAGGCTTTGCAGAATACCCTGCATCACCTGTAATCCCAGCACTTGGGAGGTGGACACAGGAAGATCATAAATTCTGTTCATCCTTAGCTACCCACAGAGTTTGGAGCCAGCTAGGCAACATGAGACCTTATCTTTTAAAAAATGCCTTTAATTAATTTGTTGAGGACCTAGTAAATACCTGGGAAGAGTTTTTTGACCCACCCATATACTCCAAAATAAAACCCCTCCATCTGGGATCTGGGTTTGATCCCCAGGACCCACATGGTGACTCACAACTATCTGTAACTCTAGTTCCAGGGGATCTGATGCCTCATCTGGCTACCTCATGCACCAGACATGTGTGTGGTACATAGACAAAACACCTATTCATCTAAAATAAAATAATAATAAAGAAATGTAAAGCCCTCCGTCTGTTCCCCAGGTCTACCTACAGCCTTCCTCTGTTCCTCTGGAAGAGCTCTGGGTGTGCCTCTCAGCAGGACACTTCAGGCATTTCCCTCAATGCCATCCTGGACAAACTTACTTTGTAGATAATACTCTACCCACCAAAAAGTGTGTCTCAGTGAGATAAATCATTTCCCAGAGGGTGGACAGGGTAAAATATTATTTTATTTAAGAAACACGAGTTAATTAAACTCCCATTCATCAGAATTTACTTTCGTTGATAGGAAGCCAAACAATTTGTCTGTCAATTAAATTAGAATTATTCCAGCCGTCTAGACGCAGCTTCATTAACCACTCCTGTGCTCCCATGATGCATCCCGGTGCTCCGAACACGCACGCTGCCTTTCTCAGCACGCAACCTCCTCCAGACATTAAATAATGGCCAAATTGCAGGCATCACACACGCCGTTGAGCCTGGCACCACAGCTTGACATGGGAGGAACACAATGTTCATGTCTCCCTCCAGGTGAGGAAGAATAGAATCTCCTTCAGCTGCTGCCTGACCAAGGAGACTGCCTGCTTTTGCAATTTTCAGACACCCTTCTAGTTCAGCTTCCTGGGACCTAGGAATACTGTCTGCAGGCACCAGTGCGGGGGTGAAAAAGAATGTATGCATCTGTTCCTGCCCCGGGTGGGAGCAGAGTGAGGATGCTCAGAGAGATGCTGCCAGCAGACAGGGCCAGGGATGCAAGGTGGAAACTGAGGTACCAAGACAGGTTGCCAGCTGCCTGTGGTGGCGAGGTGCTGGGAGTAGACAGGGTTGCACCTCCACACATATCTTGCTGTGCAGCAGTCAGGAACAAGATCTCCCACGTATCCTGCTGTTCAGGATCTCCCACTGTTAGAAATAGCTCAGCCCAAGATGCGGAGAATCAGACTTTCATTGAATGATTTCCTTTAGTGTCACAGAGAAACAGTATTCAAACGTATAAATGGGTGCCAGGGCCGGGGCTCAGTTGGTAGAATGCTTGCCTAGCATGCATGCACAAGGTCCTGGGTTCAGTCCTTAGAGTTGTATAGACTTGGTGTGTGGATACCTGTGATTTTGGCATTGAGTAGGTAGAGGCAGAAAAATCAGGGGTCAAGGCATCCTTGACTGTATTCTATGTAGTCAAGGCCAGCCTGGGTCACATGGACCTCTATCTCAACAAAAGGAACAAGGAGGGGAGGAATGGAGGGCTGACCAGCGTGGTTTATTAATAAATTGACTTATTTGGTCTCTGCTTGCAAATGGGGTTTAATAGCCCTACCCAGAGGCAGCCAGGGTTTAGGTGTGACACTAAATAAATCCAAGGTGCAGAGGAACACCTCTGTAACCCTAGCACTTGGGAAGCTGATGCAGGAGGATTGCTGTGAAATCAAGGCTATCTGGGATACATTTGAGACCTTACAAAGCAAACAAATGAAAGACAATGAGCACACACACACACACACACACGTGAAAACTGAAAGTGGGTCATCAGAATTCAAACTATGATATTGCATCTGAACAATGTGGGCAGGATGATAAGGTTTTCTAAAAAGATTCATTTTATTTCTAATTATGCGTATATGCTTGTGTTTCTGGATGTATGTGCATGTGTGAGTGCAGTAGCCACGGGAGTTAGAAGAGGGCAGCACTTCTGGAGCTGAAGCTAGCAGGTGGCTGTGAGCGTGCTGATAGGGATGCTGGGAACTGAACTCAGGTCCCCTTTAAGAGCAAGTACACACTCTTACCTGCCGCCTCTTGGTCCTGAGAACTCCTAGATAACCTCTTTCATTCTCTCTTTCTCTCCTTGCTTGGCATCCCCACAGTGACAAGGAACAGTAAGTATTTCACACCATTTTCATTTTTTCTACAAGTTGGGTTTGGTGCTTTTTCTGTGATAAGATGGTAAAGAGGGATGAGCTGTATGTATGTATGTATGTATGTATGTATGTATGTATGTATGTATGTGTGTATGTGTGTATGCATGTGTGCACTTGTGCAAAAAACATATTTCCATGGAGGAAATATGAAATCACAAAAGGAAGTTCCGTCTTGGCAGAAAGATGGGAAGTGTTCCTGAGACGAGACCACAGTCAAGATTCTGAGTTGTGTTTGGGGCTTCGGGCGACAGTGCTGTGTCTGTGTCATCTGCCCCTGCAGAGTTTTGCTAGGACAGTAATCCCAGTCAGTGTTGTTGTGAATTACAGTGGTGGTGACTGGGGCAGCGCTGGCCAGCTCTCTAGGCCGCGCCCCCAGCCATCTCCTTCTGGAGGTCACCCTGACTGCGGAGAGATGCGCCATCAGCTCCCAGTGTCTGGCTTTGCTCACCGCATTTGTGTTTTGAATTAGATTAATGTACTAACTGTGCATGACAAATTGGATGTCGGGCGCAACAAAGGGGCTGCCAGGCAGCTCCGTCTCAGTGACAAACACATCCAAACACTATAGGATGTCATTGTCACCCTGGAATGATGGGATGCTAAGATTCATCATCACTGTGGCCTTATCTATCACACTCCCCATCATTTCCCTTGACTGTCCTGTCTGTAAAGTGGGTCTGATGACCTACCTTTCCTTATCAGAGGGTGAAGGAGCCTTCATATGTAAACTGTAAAGCACCAGCAATCAAATGGAGGTGTGAATCACCACCTTGTATTCCCATGGGTGGTTGTAGTGGGGAAAGAACAGACTTTGACTGTTGGGTTCAGCCTTTTTGGATCCAAATAATCTGACCCTCAGTCCTCCAGAGAATGGCTGGCCCCCAATAACATATACCCAGGTGACCCCAGCCTTTTTCCTCTGCTCTGGGCCTCAGTTTCCCCATATGTCCAATGGGCACTCAGTGATCTCTGTGGTTGGCTGGTGGGACCCTGGTCACACAAGCTTCGCTTTTTATTAAACCACAGATGTGTTATTGAGACGTGTCAGGGGTGGGGGCTGAGGAGCTGTCAGACTAATGATGGATGAGATGTCTCAGAGGGACAGATGCTGCCTGTCGCCTCTCGCCACTCACACGTGGACTCCAGACTGAAGCGTGTGTGCGCGTGTGTGTTCTGAAGTGGAAAGGGAACCGAGAGAGGAAAGGAAAATGTTCCGGGGTGGGCAGGGGTGACAGGGAGGGTGATGGGGGGACACATGACAAGGTAGCAGAGGGAGGACTATTTGGGAAGAGGACAGGGCAGCAGGAGGAGGAGGGGTGGGGAGGGCAGCAGGGAGGAGGCTAAGGAGAATGAAGGGGAGTCACGTGTGTTCGTGAAAACACTGCAGTGGAACCCACTACTTTGCGTGCTGGCTTAAACGGTTTTATGTCTGTGTGTTGCGTGTCTGTGTGGCACATGCCTGTAGGAACACGCGGGGGTCAGAGGAGGGTGTTGGATCCCCGGAAACTAGAATTATGTGTGGTTGCGAGGCACCATGTGGGTGCTGGAAACTGAACCTTGGTTTTCAGCAAGAGCAGCCAGTGCAATTCACTGCGGAGTCATCATTCCCAAGCCCCTTAAACAATTAAAAATCCAAAACAAAACTGTGACTAGGATATCACAGAGCCACGACTCCACAGGGGCTCAGAGCTTATAGAGGCTTCCGGGTTTGGTTTGCTGTCATTCCCCTCCCCCTCCCTTCTCCCTCCCTCCCGCTGTTCCTCCCTCCTTCCTCTTGTTCTTTTCCCCTCCCTTCCTATTCCAGTGGTGGCGCATGCCTTTAATCCCAGCACTCAGGAGGCAGAGGCAGGTGGATCTCTGTGAGTTCAAGGCCAGTCTGGTCTACACAAAGTGAGTTCCAGGACAGCCAGGGCTACACAGAGAAACCCTGTCTCAAGAGAAAAAAATGACCAAGTACCTGCTGTATACCAGCTGCCATGTTAAGCACCAGAGATACGTTCATAGCCCCAGCATGGGGACATCTAGTGGGGTCTACAGGAAAACCACCTGTAATCAACACACTCTCCCATGTAAGGAAAAGCACAGTTGTGGGGCCCTGAAGAATATTATGTAGCCCAGACTTGGGGACTATGATGCAAGTTTTCCAGAGAAAGAGTGGTGTAAAGGCAGGCCTGATAAGAGAGAGAAATCGATCCACATTCGAAGTGTCTTTAGGCAGTATCTTCATGTGAGAGTGCAGAATTTCAGAGTGGCTGAGGGGGTAGATGACTTGCATATGAGGACAGTGGCAACCCCAGGGTCCCTCTGCATCCCCTGTGGTGTCACCAGGATGGAACCCATGCAGAGGGTCCTTGCTGGCCAGGAATGAAAATGTCTAGCAGCACAGCCTTCCTGGTTCCATCATTAAACCTCCCCACTGAGCTGTAAAAATACCCTCCTGATGCCTGCACTGTGGGCATCCCAGCAAAGGGAGGGCAGGAGGGAGGGACCCAAAAGGGTTCATTTCGGCTGCTGTGGAGAAAGCTTCAGCGCCCCTGCACCCCAACAGCTCTTCCATCATCCAATCCCTCTGGGAGCTCATCACGTATTGATAGAGACATCTGGCAGGCACGTGGGGATTATGTGTGTGAAATGAATGCAGGTGGGCTGTGGGAAGGGGCAAGGCCTCCTCTGTGTGCTTCAGGGGCAGACAGGTGGGCGGGGCTTCCAGGAGGCTCACCCATCTCCTGTTGTCTAGAGTCCTCTGAGGCAGGCTTTGGTGGCAGCGACCTTCCACTTTCTTTAGGTGCAGGGACAGATGCGGCAGGGGCTGTTCCTGTGCGGTCCTGGCCATGCTGTCTCTAGTCTGCATCAGTCCCTTCCCCCCCAAGTGTCGGGCATCCAGGAAATGAACATTCGATAGTGGTGATCTTGAAGCATCTCACTCAGCGAACCCTATTTACAGGCATCCCAGTTATCTGACTTGTAAGCAGACACACAGAAATAAACACCCTACCCTCAAGTTCTTGCCACTTAATTTCAGGCTGGGTTACCTGGGATCCTGCTTCCTCAGAGGACTGAACTGGCAGGCGTGGGGTGGGCACACAATCCTCTGTGTAGCTTGTCCCATGGATGACAGCGCTTCTGTCTCTAGCATTGGCTTTCAGTAAGATCCCTGGTAGAGTCTGGCCTAACGTGCAAGAGGCCCTAGGTCTGATCCCCAGCACCTCATACAATGGGCACGATGGGCCATACTGTAATCTCAGCACTCGGGGGGGGAAGCAGGAGGATCAGGAATTCAAGGTCATCCTCGGTCACTTAGAAATTCCAAGGCCAGCCTGGAATGACTGAGACCCTGTCAAAAAGTAAACAACAACAAAACAAAAAACCCAAACCAAGATCTTCACGTTAGACTTCGTCTTAATGACACTTAATTGGCACCTGTGCTAGTTAGAGTTTCTATTGTTGTGAAGAGACACCATGACCAGGGCAACTCTCATAAAGGAAAGTATTTAATTGAGGGTAGTAGCTTGTAGTTTCAGAGGTTTAGTCCATTGTTATCATGGTGGGGAGCACAGAGCCATGCAGGCAGACATAGCGCTGGAGAAGGAGCTGCTCCATGTTGATATGCAGGCAAAAGGAAGTAGACTGAGACATGGGCAGTATCTTGAGCATATATGAGATCTCAAAGCCCATTTCCATAGAGACACACTTTCTCTACTAGACCACACCTACTCCAACAAAGCCACACCTCCTAAGAGTGCCACTCCCCGTGAGATCATGGGGGCCAATTACATTCAAACTACCACAATGTCCAATATGCAGAGACCCCACTGTCTTTTCCCAAGACCCCCATGTTCACAAGGTTTCACAACCCAGGGGGCTCCTTCTGTTCCCAGAGAGTAAAAGGCTTTGGTTGAAAAGCCCATCTTATTTCCCTCTGTTTGCTTTGGGAATTTTTCATGCAATCTACAGGAGGCCTGTGGTCTCCCACTGAGACCCAGGAGGAAGTTTCCAAACATCAGCTGAGCTGTGTGTCAACTGCTTGTTCTACATCAGGATAGAAGGAGGATTCAGAGGAGGCAGCAGCTGCCAGCCACCTTTCGGCTCCCTGCAGTCTACAGAGGGAGGCAGTCCTCCTATAAGGGACCTTGGGGACACATCTGCTCTGCTCATTTGTGTCTCTGAAGTCACGCTTGTGCAGCAGCCTAAGTTCCTGGTGTACATAAAGCCCAGCAGGTTGTATGGTGGTGGGTGGGAGGGAGGCACTGGCTACGGTGACCGGGACCAGACTGAACTGTAGAACATGTCCTTGGGGGATCCACACTGGGCCTCAGGTTGGAATGTCCCCTGAGTTAAGAGTGGAATTGCTTTGTAAAGTCAGGAAAGAACTGGAGGGGGAACTGGGGGGGGGCAGTGATGGTTCATATTGATGGCTGATTTGACAAGAAGATCTAGGATCATCTTGAAGACCCTCTGAGCATCCCTGTGAGACATTTGAGATTAGGTGGGGAGACCCACCTTATGTGTGGTCAGTTCCATTTCATAGGCTGGGGTACCGCACTGAATATAGAGGGGGAAGCAAGCTGAGCGCCAGCATCCATCTCTGTCTGCTTCCTGACTGTGGGTGCCATGTGAGTCTCTGCCCCACATTCCTGCCACCCGCCCCTGCTGTGCCTTCCCTGGTATGAGGGATCGCACCCGCCCGCACATGTGAGTTCAAATCAGCCCTTCCTTAAGCTGCTTCTCGTCAGAGCAATAGGAAAAGCAACTAAAACCAGGACCCGAGGAACAAGCAAGGGAAAGATGAAGGTTGAGAAAAGGAAGAATTGGGCGGATGGAGACCACCTTCCCCACAGGAAACCACAGGCCTGAGGAGGAGGCGGGCACTGTGGGATGGGTCAGGAGCCACAGTGTCAATCTCAAGTAGGGGGAAGAGACCTCAGGCAGGCCTCTCTCCCAGCTCTCTCTCTACCCCTTCTGTTCTCCCAGCTCACCTCTGAGACCTTGGCATAGCCTGGAGGAACCTAAGTTTCCTTAATTTAGGAGTTCTTCCTCCAGATGTGGAAGACACGTCCGACTTTTCCAAAAGTTCCCAAGGAATTGACCAATGCCAGGATACCCCAGAGCCTGAGATGGGGTTAGGTGAACACCAACTCTGAATTCCCAGTGTCCCCAGGATCCCAGGAGGCTTTCACCTTCTGGGACAGCGCCCTGCGGTGTCTAGACTGAGGGAGAGGGGTATGCTTTGCTTCCATCCTATGTGGACCGCAAATAGAAGACTTTAACATCCCTGCTTACAAGAGCCTGGGTTCTAGTCAAGGTCTCTGTGTCCCTGTGTCCTCAGATATTGATCTGAGTGCCAGGGCACAATAGTGATGAGGTCCCTGAAGCTCAGTGGGGCGTAGGGGATGGGAATTAACAGGTACCAAGAGGGTTGTTTAAGGATGGCTTCATCTGGAGACGGGTGTGATAGAGAATTTGAACCTGGGCAACAGGAGATGACGTGCTGGTGCTGTGAGACCAATGCTTGGAGGAGGGAAGGGCTCCTGGCATGGCATGGCAGGGAGGGGTCGGGGCAAGGGCAAATGTCCTGAGGCAGAAACTAGGTTTGGGTGATCAAGTTGAGCAAAGAGGTCAGTGTGGCTAAGATTCAGTGGTTGGGGAGCAGCGAGGGGGTGCCAGTAATGGGACCAGGAGAACAGATGGGAGGGAACTTGCCAAAGTGGGAAAGAGCCCTGGGCTTTTACTATGGCAGTAAACTTTACAGACTTTAACATTAAGCATCTTAAAGAGCTGAATTGGGCGATGTCTGGTGTGTTCACCATGTGGATGACTGCCACTGCTGTCTGGTCCTGGGCTTCACCGTTTGTGAGGTGCTACTGTAGGGTCCAAGGCAGGCTGGCATTGGAACACCTGAGGCACCTGCTCTGGGCCACACCTGTGTTTCCATCAGATCTCTCCATGGGCCATCCTCTTTCCTACCTCACAAGACCACTCAGGACATCTGCTTCCCTTCCGTCCAATCCTTCTCTGCTCTTCCAAAGCAACCTGATAGATGGGGGAAACAGAGGAGGAGGAAGGAGAAGAGGATGGGGAGGGAGGGAACTAGGTTTTAACTCCTAATTGCTGAATCAAAAGCAATTTCATTGCCCCCATGCCAAAGTGACCCTGAGCCGGTGTCTCATGTGTCCTGGACTCCAGTGCTTTCCTGAGCCGGTGTCTCATGTGTCCTGGACTCCAGTGCTTTCCTGAGCCGGTGTCTCATGTGTCCTGGACTCCAGTGCTTTCCCGGATCTGAGGTTTCTAGATAGCTAGAGAAGGCTGAGAGCTTCCCAGTTGGCATTTAACTCAGGAGAGTGGGGTGGGGTGGGGGGTATCTCAGTCCTGTGTTGTGGAGCATAGAGTTGAGAGGCCAGGGAATGCTCTCCATGAGCACAGCACGAAGTGCTCCCAGCAGATCCTCCTTACACACCAGGAAAGGGGGCCAGGGCAGGGATGCTGTGAAGACCAAAGCTACTGACTTGGATATGTCTTCTATGTCTGTATCTGCTTTTTAAGAGGGAGTATGAGGACTTAAAGGCATAGCTCAGCTGATAGAGTGCTTGCCCGGCGTGGAATGAAGCCCTGGGTTTGAGCCCCAGTGCCACATAAACTAGGGGTAGTAGTGAACACCCATAATTCTATCACTTGGGAGATGGAGGCAGGAGAATCAGAAGTTCAAAGTTGACCTTTGCTATATAGCTAGTCCAAGGCCAATCTGAGGGATATGAGACCCTGTCTCAATAGGGGTGGGGCAGGGGATAATGCACAGAGTAGATTCCCAAATGATACCGGAGCCTTTAATGGTGGGAAACCTGGTTATTTGTCCTTATAAAGATATGCTTACAACCATGTTTCTAACAACTGGTTAAAGTTTAAAGGGAACTGTACCCCCACCCCAGGTATGGCAGAACATAGCAGTCACCTCTGTTCTTGGAAGATAGAGGAGGACCAGGGGTTCAAGGTCATCCTCAGCTACAGAGGGCGCTCCAGTCCAGTTTAGACTACATGAGATCACATCTAAAAATAAACATGTATCAACATCTTTGGGTCAGGCCATCCATGGGGTCCACCTGGCCTGACTGTATTCCCTGCAGCTGTATTGTGGTGTGTGTGTGTGTGTGTGTGTGTGTGTGAGTCTGGTTTAGTATCTTTGTGAAAATATCTTGGCTTTTAACTTCTTTTTATGCACGTGGCCCGGGATGCATCAGAGTGGGATGAAGGAATGATGCATGTCGCATTGTTCAGACAGACAAGCTGAGGTTCAGAGGCACAATGCTGCCCAGGGTCTCTGGGCCAGGGAGGCTCCCTGCAGAAGCTCCAGCACTGGTTTTGCAGATCCCTGGGTCTCTGTTCTGACTCCTGGGATTATCCAACACACCTCATGCCTTCTCCTTGGCTTCACAGGCTGCAGGCAGGATGGTCCGTCCATCCTGGAGTGCAGACCGACAGGCAGAGGAACCAGGAAGAGCTGACAGACGAGGAGAAGGAGATCATCAACCGTGTGATCGCTCGGGCAGAGAAGATGGAGGCAATGGAACAGGAGCGCATTGGGTGAGGCCAGCTTCACCTCCCCCTGGGGCTGCATGGCGATGCTGGGGTGGGAGCGCCTGGCCACCTGTGATTCAGCATCCTTGTTGCGTGAGGTGGCAATCCGACCCAGAGGATGAGAAGGATGGAGAGAGTACAGAACAGGCTGGGCTCAGGCCATGTCCATGTTGGGTGTGCATGGAAGGAGGGAAGTTGAGGGGTTTACCAGGGCAGAGGGAGGTTTACCAGGGAGGCTGTGCTGTGGGTGTGAACACTGGCCGTCTCAGCTGATGAGAGCTGATCGAGAGTTCTGGAAGTATTGAATGCCTCACTGAGGGTGGAGTTAGCAGAGATGGTGAGCAAAAATCACTGCATTTGGCTTAGGCAAAGGCTCAGAGGTAGGGCAGGGTTGGAGAAAGGGTTTGTGGCTGGGGCAGGGAGCAGGAGGAGTGGCATCTGGTACCCTACAGTGCAGCACAGTGATCATGGATGACAATGAACAGAGTGCTTTAAAGTGGCTGGTGTTGAGTATTCCTAATGATGAGATGGACACAGGGAGGATACCCACCTAATCATGGCAGGACACACACATGTGTATATATATGCATATATATATGAATGTATCAAAGCATCACTGTGCATCCCATAAATATGTTAAAGAGAATGTATAAGAACACACCCCAAAGTAAGCTATAGAGTTACCCTGGCAACAGGCATATGGCAGGCAGGCATCGTGGGGGCAAGGCAGCTGAGGTGGACCCGGTGTGGGGACATTCCGGGCTTAGAGAACCCGGAGTCCTTGGTGAATCTGGAGCACAAAGATGTACTTCCCTGAGCCCCGTGTGCTGAAGGGAGGAAGGGCATAATGACACCACAGGGTTCTGAAGAGGATAGAGTGAGATGATGGGCGTGCCCCAGTTGTAACTGTGTTTAATGGATGGGAGAAAGAGGGCAAAGTAGGTCTCAGAGAGCTGGGATAATGGCGTGTGGACAGGAGGGAGGCGGGGCTTGCAGGAAGCAGCTGTGGAAGAGGACAGAGTGCATGCTGGAGGGGAGTTGGAAGCTGTGTCAGTGAAAATGCCAGGGGTCATCAGGGTCAGGGTGACCGAGAAAAGGGGGAACTCTAGGCATGGCCACTGAGGGACCCACGGAGCAGTCCCTTACACGCCAGTGGGAACTAGGGAGCAGCTAGAAGCCAGCTCGCCTCTTGTCCTCAGGAATCTCCTATCATCCTGGTGCAAAGTGCAAACGGATGCATCCTGCTTGTGTGTGCATGTGTGTGTGTATGTGTGTGTGTGTGTGTGTCACGCACACTCAGGCCAGAGGTAGACTCCAGTTGCCTATCTCTGCACATTGTACCTTTCATTGGGAAGGACTCCCACCCGCAGTGCATCCGTTCAGCTAGGCTGGCTGGACAGTGGTCCAGGGACCCTCCTTCCCCTCACCCCTAAGCTCTGGCACTTACTGCCATGTCTGACCTACACAGCTGCTGGGGATCACAGCAGTCTTGTTACCCACTGAGCCACCTTCTCAGTCCTGCAGATGTGTGTGGCACCGTTCCACAGACTGGGGTCCTGGGCTAGTGTGTAAGGAAATAGCTGAGTGCAAACAGTTCTTCGTGCCTTGCAGTGAACCTGACCCAGCCTTCTGGTCCTCGACTTTAAAGGCACCCACCCCCCCACTTCTAGCACAGGGTCAGCGAGTCACTGTCTTGTCCTCTGTGGCCTGACACTGACTTGGTGTCATGAGGCAGTGTTGTGGTTGAGAGCTAGGGTTCCCAGATCAAGAAGACTTGGATTCAAATCCCATTCATTTCCTCTGTGACCTCATGGTAGCCACTTTGCTTCTGTGTCTCATTTCTCTCTTGTGCAAAATGGAGATGGCACTCCTTGGTGAATAAATACGATGAAGGCCGTCACTTATTTAGTAAGTGATAGCAACACCGCCAGTTTAGTTTTTAAAGCAAGAGGCTCTTTTCGTTTCCGTGCTTGCTGGCAATTTTGGTCTGCACCTGTGCTGGGATGCTCCAGTTTGGCAAGCCCCGGAGTCCCAGCATCCCTTGGCTTCCCCGGAAGGAGATTTGAGAGACTTCCAGGGATCCTGGGCCAAATCTGGGCTGGCAGAGTGTACCTCTGCTGAGCTGGTGTATTTTCTCCCTGGCGTCCCAGAGTGGGGAGGGCAGCCCCGGAGGCCTGGGCAGCCTGTGTCTCCTCCATCGCGGCTGGCAGCCCTCGCTGGCAGCATCGCCAGAGGCAAGCCCGATGCTATCTGTGTCTTCTAAGCTCCACACCATGCCTTCATTCCTGTTCCTCCTACACTTCCTGGAGGAAAATCAGATGAGAGCCAGGTGGGGTACCAGGTGGGGCATCGGATGGGGTGTGAGACTGCGGAAGGGGTTCTGCTATCTGGGGCATCCACTGCGGAAGCCAAGGCTCTCAGTGAGCAAGACTTCTGCCTCAGTTTCCCCAGGTGACTCTCAGGTGCCTTCTTGCTCATCCAGCTGCTGCAGTGGCTGGGCATGGTGAGGACCTCACTGTGCATCATTGGCTGTGTCTCTGAGGAAGGGGACTCTTTGTAACTGGGTTAGGATTTCAGGTGCTCCTGTCCCTACCTGAGTCCTGTTGCTGAGTTTTCCCTTCCAAGGGAAGCTATCTGGGACAGTATGAGGTCACTTTGAATCAACATGGAAATTAAGCCCCATAAGGTGCCAAGTCCTGCATTCTATCATTCTATCTATCTATCTATCTATCTATCTATCTATCTATCTATCTATCTGAGACATGGTCTCATGTAGCCCAGGCTAGCCCAGAGCTCACTATATAGCTGAGGATGACCTTGAATTTCTGACTACCTTGCCTATACTTCCTGAGTTCTGGGGTTACAAGCATGTACCACCACACCGAGTGTTTTCAGCGCTAGCAATGAGACCCAGGGCTTCGTTTATTGTAGGCAGTCTCTCCACCCACTGAGCCCCAGCCCTGAGACCTTTGGTTTAAAATTTATTTGACTCAACACAGTCACTGCTCCTCTTAATCCTATGGAGGGGGCACTATAGCATCTCCACTATACAGATAGAGAAACTGAGGCTGGGAGAGACAAGGTCATAGACATGATAGATTTGCTTGCTTTCTGGTTGGCTCTCAGAGTGATGTCCTTAACTCCATATGGTATCTTTCATGGACCAGTCCCCAAACTCACTGACTCTGTGAACCTACACTTCTAAAACTATGTATTCCATCCTGCTGCTTTCCATGCACATGTGTGTGCCATGGCATATGCACGGGGGTCAGGAGGTAATTCTTGGGGGGGTCAATTTTCGCCCTTCACTGTGTTACTCTGGGGATTGAACTCGGGTCATCAGTCTTGGCAGCAAGCTCCTTTACCTGCTGAGCTATCTTGCCAGCTCCAAATTCAAACTTTCATTGAAGAGTTCAAGCTCAGCAGAGAGCCTCTCCAGTGACTCCTTCCTGCCTTGTTTATCTACTTCCTGTGCCTGATTTCTGGGGGATAAGGCATCAGGCCCCCCAGGAGGCTTTGCTTCCTCTGTGGGTCAGTTTTGCTGGAACTAAGAACCCAGGAGAGCCTCAATCTGTGCAGAGTCCCAAGCTACCTTCTGCAGCTCCATCCCAGAATCTAAAGGCTCACGCGCCCTTCACTGTCTCCCCAGATCTGCCATGTCCAGGATGTGAGGACAGAGAGACGATGGCCAGGAGAGAATCTCTTCTAACTGTCCTTTGTACACATCGCCTCTGGGCTCAGGGTGGTTTGTTCTCCATGATTAGCTGAAGCAGACTTCAAGGGGTTAAGAATTCGGGCGTGTGCAGGGGACAATGTGACTGGCTGCCATCTTTTCCCCTGAGCCGTGCACACAGGGGGACCTCACAGGAGATTGCAGGGCTGTCCCACAGGGGGATCTGTGGTCAGGCACACAACCTCAGGGAAAAAACTCTCACCCCACGTGTTAGCAAACCTTGCCTCATCTCCATGGAAACGAGGCTGCTGGGGGCTTCCTCCGAGGGGGAAGGTCTCCAGCTGAGTCGGAAAGACACTGGACTTTCAGAATGTGCTAAGTCTGGAATAAAACGTTTGCCTTGAAAATCCGTTGGCACCCCCACTCCCTCTATGTGACAGAGTCTCTGTCCGTGAGGCTGTCCTCTGTGTCCCCATTGCACTTCCTTCTGTCTGGATCCCCTCCAAGGCATTTGCACCTATCCTGCCTGCAAAGAGGCAGCAGCTGGGTGGCTCTGTCCGAGGTCAGCTTCCTGAAACAGACGGGCTCAAAAAAAAAAGTAATTAGAGTTGTCATTAACCTTGGCATGACTTGATGATGGAGGAAGAAGCCAGAGAGATGAAGGAAGACCTGTTGTCACAGACTCCGTTGTGTCCCTGCCACTTCCATATTGGAGTTCACCACCCCCTCCCAACTGTTCGACACAGAATTTTTCCACAGTGTTTGTCCTTAGGCAGGTTTCAAGGACACAGACAGCCAGGCCAGTCTGGAGCCCTGGCCTTCCAGAGAGGGGTGTGAATCAGGGTTGGGAAACCCAACATTCAGGACATTGTTATACACATGTTCATTTTTTCCCCCTGCAAGAAGCAAACATCTATGGATTTCATCAGGTTTAGTAGTTCTCTGTAACTTCCCCATGTTAAAAACTGCAGAGCAGTGCCTCAGTTTCTCCAGGTGTTAGATAAGTGCTTTCCGTATCCATTTAGCCTTAGCCATATTTAGTGGTACATGCCTGTAATCCTAGCACTCAGGAGTCTAACAAGTTCAAGGTCAACCTGAGCTCACAATGAGACCTTGTCTCAAAAGAAAACAAAAACACCAAACCAAACCAAACCAAAACAAAACAAAACAAAAAAGCAAACAAACCCTGAAGCTGGAGGCTGGCTCAGTTAGTAAAATGGCTGCCAAGCAAATGTGACACCTGAGTTCAGATCCCAGCCCTCATACAGAAGCCAGCAGGAGCTAGGGGCTGTGGGCGGAGACAAGCTGGTGTCAGGAGCTCATAGGCTGGCCA